CTCCTCCTCCCCTCCTCCTCCTCCTCCTCCTCCTCCTCCTCCTCCTCCTCCTCCTCCTGCTTCTCCTCCCCCCTCCTCCCCTCCTCCTCCTCCTCCTCCTCCTCCTCCTCCTCCTCCTCCTCCTCCTCCTCCTCCCCTCCTCCTCCTCCTCCCCTCCCCCTCTCCTCCTCCTCCCCCCTCTCCCTCCTCCCTCCCTCCCTCCCTCCATCCTCCTCCCTCCTCTGCCTCCTCCTCGTCCTCTCGCCTCCTCCTCCTCCTCCTCCTCCTCCTCCAAGGACTGCAGACAAGTTGCGCCGAGGGGGAGGAGGAGGAGGAGGAGGAGGAGGAGGAGAGAGGAGGAGGAGGAGGGGAGAGGAGGAGGAGGAGGAAGGATGGAAGAGGAGGGAGGAGGAGGGAGGAGGATGGAGGAGGATGGAGGAGGAGGAGGAGGAGGAGGAGGAGGAGGAGGCTGAAAGAGGAGGGTGGGGGGGGGACCAGCTCAGGGGGGAACCATCGAGCTTGGATCGGCGATGCATCGCCGACAGATCGGCGAGAGGCCCCGGATCGCAAATGCGAACGGTCCTGGGCGGAATGGGCCACAGGGCCACGATCGGTGATGAGTGGGCGCCTGGGGGTCGATGCATCCCCCTGAGCCGATTCCTCCCTGACATTGCCCCTGCGGAGGATTCGGGGAAGTCTACCGCCGCGATCTCTGGGGACAGGTCCGACGTCTATGAAGGGGCCCAGGGACGCACAGATAAATACACACACAGTCCCAGGATTCCCGACGTGTTTTCGATAGCTTCCGGGTGCTCGTTTTCACACACACCCCACCCCCCCACACTTCCCATCTCTTCTCCCCTCCCTGGGGATCGACGAATGACTGTGTCTGTGTTTTTCTGTTGCTCCCTGCTGAGTCTGCCCTCCCCCCCCTCCCCGCGGCGGCGGGCGCATGCGGCGTTGCGGACGTGGTCCCCCGCATCGCAGGTGCCGACCTCCCCCCCGCGCCCGCCGCCGCCCGCGGAGCACGAGGGCGGGGATGGAGGCAGCAGGAGGATAATTCGAGGGACGATCAATAGCTCCAGCGCAGCGGGCGGCAATCCAAGCAGGGAGCGACCCGACTGCGCCGTGAGCTCACCACTCCCTGGCCGGCTCGGGGGGCGAGGCACCATGCGGACGCAGCCTTTGGGCCCCCCCCCCCCGCGCGCCCGCCGCGGCAAGCGACGGCCAGAGGCCACGGGCCACGACCGGCGAGAGCGCGGCCGAGGGCGCGGCCGGGCATGTGCTCCCACAGGCGGACACTGGAGGAAAACTCTGGAAGATCGTCCAAAACACTCAACAAATAGCGGAAAGGGTAGGAACATCGTCCCCGTCCTATCTTTGGGGGATTTTTTTTCTGTGTGCTCCTCCTGTAGAGGGACAGGGCCGACTTGATCAAGGCAGCGGGCGGTGGGGAGGATGGGGGGGGCACGAGGAGGAGGAGGAGGAGAACGCGGAGACCGGCTCCTCAAAACGAGGACCCAACACCACAGGATGGTTGGGAGCAACATTCAAAATAGCGGAAAAGATAGGAAAATCGTCCCCGTAGCATTTGGGGGATTTTTGTCGGAGTGTTCCTCCTGTGGAGGGACAGGGCCGACTTGATGAAGGCGGCGGGCGCGAGCAGAGGCCCAGAGAGCCCGGGCCACGACCACAGACGGAGACCACGACCAGAGGCCCCAGGGCCAGGAGGAGGAGGAGGAGGACGAGGAGGAGGAGGAGGAGGACGAGAAGGTGGATGAGAAGGAGGAGGAGGAGGAGGAGGAGGAGGACGAGGAGGTGGAGGAGAACCGAGATCCCGGGGGGGGGGTCACGGCCTGAGGCCGCCGCCTCCCCCGCCGCCCCCGCACGGGGCGGCAAGGGGGGCAGAGAGGTGGGGCAGAGAGATGTGGCTAACCAGCCTCGAACTTGTCCCTATCCTGAGGAAATGGGCGAGCAAAAAGCGAGGACAATCTTAGGGATGTGTCCTCAGAAACTGAAGGGATCCTCGAGGTCGGCATCGAGGCGAGGTGATGCCAAACACAGGGTAAGCTGCGGGAGAGCGGCCGAGGGGCCAGAGGGGAGGCGAAGGTGCAGGAAAGACGGAAGAGGGGAGGGGGAGGGGGGCGAGCGGGGAAACAAGGAGGGGGGTCGTAGAGAAGAGGAAGCACCGACCAGCAGAAGCACTGGACGGCCCTTCTCGTTCCGAATGATCCAGTCTGCCACTGCCTCGTTCACCCAAGCAGCCCGGGAGACAGCATCCTGGCACTGTATGACGTCAGCATGACAGAACACGCAAGGATCCATGTTTTTGGACCGGACGCCTGGGAGCGGGAAACTGGCCAGGAACATCTCATGGCATCGATGTGTCTGGACATCATAACTCATCCGCCAGCCGCTCAGCAGCAAGATATACTATCCTCTATTTCTGGCAAGGCTGCGTTGCATCCCCGACATGGTTCGCACCAAGAACTTCTGCCAGAAGCTGCAGTCCGCGCCCAGACAGTGCCGCCGAGTTTTAAATATCGGTTCCAGCGCTTGCTCCGAGCTCGCGCTGTGCAAGGCGATGATTAAGCCCCGGGCGATGCTCTATGGGGGGCCCAACAATATACACCACCACCACCTCCCTCACCCCCTTCCTCTCCCAGGAAAGAGGAGAGGAGGTCGGTAGAGGAGAGAGGAGGAATCGACGTGGTGGTGGTGTAGATTCGTTGGGTCCCCATCTCCATGTTTTTTTGTGCCCCCGACGAGTCCCCCTTTTGCCCGAGCCGCCGAGACCCCCGCCCGGGTGTGTGTGTGTGTGTGTGCGTGTGTGGGTGTGTGTGTGTGTCGGGCCATCAAGAGCGCACGTCCAGCAGCATCTGAGCAACTGACCGTGGCCTGTGCCAACGGGCCCACTTGGGCCGCTTAGGAGCCTCTGGGCAGGACCAGAAACACAAAGCAGGCAATCCCCAGATCACCGAATCAAGGCGCCTCCGAACCCCGCGGAGGCCAGGGTCGAGGACGAGAAAACACTCTCACCCCGACAGAAAACTACAGGGCTTCGCCCGTGTAAGGATTCAGGCCGTTGAGAAGCCTGTCCCGACGGCGAGCCCTCTCGCGGAGGGCGGGGGGGGTGCGCTGGCTCGGTGCAGGCAAGGGCCCCGTGCACTCGACCAGCAACCCTCGCGCCTGCTGCTTGCACGAGAGAAAGCCGCATCTCCGACAAAAGGTGAAAGGCGGAGCGGATGCAAGTTCGTGTCCCCGCTCGTGGACGACCCCCGCCCCGCCGCCCGCACCCCCGCCTCCCTCCTCGGCGGCCGCGGCGGCGGCGGCACGGCCGCGGGCTGCCTGGCCCCGCACCCGCGGGGCCCGCGGCGCAGCAGGCGGCGCCGTCGGTGGCGGGGGCGCCGCTAGCTCCGCCGTCGGCGGGGTGGGGCTGCTCGCCCGCGTTCGCATCGCACGGTCCCCCACCCTCCCAGCCCCCACGCACGTCGGCTCGCCCTCCCTGCCCTCTCCTTCCTCCTGGTCCTCCAGGTGGGCCTCCAGCAAACCTCCCGAGAGGGACTCAGGGGTGGAGGACAGGTGGGCAGAGGCTGTGGCAGCAGGTGTGCCCCCAGCAGCACTGAGGAGACGGGCAGCGGTCCGAGCCCGACGATCCTCGTCGGAAAGGCCGTTCTCGGGGCGCACTGAGGGGGTGGCCTCGTCGGCCGAGGCCCTCGTGACACCGATTGGGGTCGAGGGCTCGGCCACGGCACGAACGCGAACGGATCGATCCAGCCTGAAAAACGCATGGGCCGATTGCGTGCCTTCGAGCCTGCTGCGAGACCTGAGCGGAGCCGCCGAGGAGGAGGGGCCGTCAACTTGCCGCCTCGGCGAGCGGCTGCCTCCCCTGCCAGGGTCAGGTTCTCCTCTCTCCGACGGGGTCGACGCGGCGGCGGCGGCGGCAGCGGCGGCCAAGGCAAGGGCAACCGCAGGGGAGGGGCGAGGAGGGGCAGGGCTAACCCCCTCGGCCTGTAGGGCCGCCTGGGCACGGAGCCTGGCCAGGTGAGACGGCACGCATGGGTAGGATTCAAGGCAACGCCTGGTCTCTGCCGTGCGTGCAACACGGTTACAAGCCAGGCAACGGACACCCCCTCCAGGGAGCTCTGCAAACTCGCGTGCAACAAACGGTAGCAACCTGGGCGCCGTGACGGGCGGAGGGGGCCTCGGGTCGGCCTCCGCGGGGTCCCAAACCCCCGAACCAGCCACACGAGCAGCCGCCCAGGCAACGAATTTAGCATTAAGACAGGCCTCTTCCATACGAAACTGGATGTTACGAACCAGGCCCTTAGCTGGGCTGGCTAAGTCTAGGGCAACACTCGCAAACAGATCAGCCCAGCTATTTCCAAGCCAGTCCTGGAGATCAAGATTAAGCTCAATAGCCTGGGCCAGGGATTTATGCGAGGGAGTCCATCCAAACGAGGGCGGCCTCCTGTCTTGGCGGGCCACGGTGGCGCGTAGCGCTCTCCAAAGTGCAGCGTGACGGGCCGAAGCGGACGCATCCCCAGGGCTCCACCGTTGCCCTTCCCCCACGAAACTTAAATGATCAGAAATCAAACACGAAACCTGTGGGGAAAGGCAAGTGGCGACGAGTCCAGCATATCTTTCAGCCCTCGCCACTGTCTGCACTCCTGGGAGAGAGCCGAAAATCGCCTTACAGGGCCAGCCGTCGTCTCGCAACTGTACTACGGCCCAGGAGCATCGAGCGACCTCAGGAGTGTCCATGCCGAAACCGCCGCCATCGATATACAACCGACCGCCCCACGGAAGCTCGGCATCCCCCCAATGGTGCACGAAATCGGGACACATGGGAGGCATCTCAGAGGCAGGAGGCTGCAGCGGGATAGCATACGCAAACTGCAAAGCCTCATGTGGGTCATCCTGGGCCGACTCCCAAGCAAGGCGATCGAGACGCTCACGGGTCTTGAGAATCGCTTCGGGCGGGGCCGACTCGTGAAGGGCAGGGTCCAGGAGGGCGGGGCATTTGTACAGGCGATGGCCGTTTGCCTCTCGTTCAGCACCGCAGGCTAGGCACCTACCACAGTCAATCAAACGCTTCTCATACTTTTTCTGCCGAGGCCACATCGCATCAGTCCAGACGCACTGCAGCGAGCCGCGTTCGGAAGGGCCCCGAACTGCCTTCTCCACGCACCGCCTGATGCCGCGGTGCCAGAACTGCTCGCCATTGTGTGTCTCGATGTGGTTCTCAGCGCGCGCCAACAGCCAGCGCGTGACACCCTGGACGACCTGGTCGCGAACGTCTCTGGGCGCCATCTGATTCAGGTCGAGGACAGTGCCAAGGTCGGACTCGAAGGTGGCCGCTGAACTAAACCGCCAACCGATCCGATGCAAGGTAAGCCACAGGGCCCCGAGAGGGCCACGCACTCGGCTCCAGCTAGGCTGTGCGCTCATCTGCCCGCTGACGAACTCCCAAGTGCCACCGGGAGCTTGCATTTCCACCCGACCTTCCCACAGCATGCTCGCGTACATGAAAACGATGCTGGTGGTCGCCGCATACAGTGGATCGTAGAGGGGCTGGTCCTGCATGAGCATGCCCATGCATATGCTACCCGTTGGGCGCACTCCTGCCAGCAGCGCAGCAACCGATCGGATCGCCTTAAGCACCGCGTCTGAGACCCCGCTGACCGAGGCCCCGTGCGTGACGGACGGCGTGATCCCAGCGGCCTGGATGCGCGTGATACGGCTGGCCCCCACAGCTTTCTTGGGTATGAGGGAGCGTCGCACCCGTCCTCGAAGCTGCTGTAGTCGTGCTGCCTCTTGTTGCCGTCGCACCTTGGGGCCTGCTAACTCGTGGCCAAGGTTCCGAATCCACGGCAAGCCCATGACCTGCCTGGCTCGCGCCGCCGAGCGGAAAGCCCTGCTGGCACGGCTGGAAGAGGCGACGTAGCCAAGCTTCTTGATCTGGATGGGCAGCTGGAGTCCCTGGAGCTCGAACTTGAGCTGATCGATGCCCTCGCCCAACTCGGTCCCGCTGTGCTTGGCATGCCCAGTCCACTGGAGGGAGACGTCGTCGACCAACTGCCTGGGCTTGAGCGACGGGCACAGCGCACTCATTCTCTGCATGGACCTGTGCATCAGTACTGCTAGGAGGGTCGTCGCCTGAGAGCATCCTGCCACAATGCCCTGGAAGGAGATGAAGAACTCGCTGTTGCTGCCGTGTGCGCGAACGACGCGTGGCTGGCGATACAGCTGGGTCAGTAGCCATACCAGCCTGGGCGGGAAGTTGACCTCCATCGCCTCTCGAACCAGAACTTCGGGCGCCACCATCTCGAAGCATTTGAGAAGGTCCACCACGAGCGTGATAACATCCAGCTTCCGAGCAAGAGCTATCTCCGAAGTGATGTTGTGTGAGAAGGCCGAGGCTGACGAACTCCTCCCTGGTCCTAGCCCCCAGGCGTGCTCCTCTCGGTGGGTGGCCTCCCACTGGGCAGCCAGCGGGCGGCGGGCACGGCTCCAGAGGCGCACGATCGTATTCAGCAAGCCGATCAGTCTCATGCCTCCGCCCGCCTTCGGGAGGCGGACCAGCACCGTGGCCAGGCGCTGCGGTGGCCAGCCAAGGTGGTGCTCGCAGGCATGGAAGAGGAGGGACAGGGCCAGCAGCGCTTGGTCCGAGAGAACGTCGAGGTGTCGCGGCTGGAACCCCGTCTGGCCGACTGCCGTACCCAGCTTGAAGGTGCGGATGGCCTGCCTGAGATCCTGTACCGATAGGCGTGGCAGCTCAGGCCAGGACTGGGCCTCCGCAGGCAGCGGGACCTCTCCGAGCTTGTGGTGCTCCCATATGACCTTCCAGTCCTGGAGCTCCGTGTCCGCCAGGTCGCTTGGATGGCCGCTCCTGTTCTCTCTGGGGACCTCTACCTCCTGCTTGGGCTTGGCGAATCGGTGAGCCAGACCCGCGCCCCCTGCGAAGGCGTCCTTCGCCCAGTCGGTCCAGGCCTTGGTACACCTATTCTCCGCGTCCGTGGGCAGCTGCTTGGCCTTGGCGATGATGACCTGGGTCTGGACCTTCAGCGAGCTGGCCCCAAGCATAACGGCACCGGTTTGGAAGAGCTCGCGGGCGCCGCGATCAAGCTGCTCAAGTATGTGCGACTGCTTGCCAACACGTGCACAGAAAGCCTCGAACTCCAGCAGGGCGGAGGCCAGGCCCTTGACGCGCTTGTAGTGCTGCACACCTTCGAACACCATGCCTCTGGCAGCGCCAGGGGGTCGAGGAGGAGGGGCCCTGCCAGCCCGATCGCCTGGGCGCTGATCCATCCACTCTCGGTGCTGCTCGAAGGCGCGAAGGTGCATGTCCACGACCTCTGCCCAGTCCTCTTCCGACTGGTCACGTAGCCGCCGAAGGTGGGCGCGGTATCGATCGCGGCTGCGAACTCCAGCACGATAAGCCGTCTCGCACATCTCTCGAGCTCGATGCCAACGGCGCGCATCGCGAGGCAAGGCTTCATCCCAGCCTCCTCCGTCCCAGAGAGGGTCAAAAGCAGGGTCCCGCAGCTGCTCCGCGGTGTAGGGCACGCACCACTCCATCCAGTCCTCGGTGACCTCCTGCTCCGTCTGCTGCTCGTTCCGAGGGTCGCCAATCCAGTTCTGCGTGTACCGTCGAAGCTCACGTTGAATGGCCTCCTGCCTGCGCTGGGCCGCTACCTGATCGGGGTCCTCTCCACGAGCTGCAGGAACAGGCTGGGGCTCAGGTACACGACTGTCATTCGGAAACTCGGTGAGCTCGTCTGACTGGGCGATCTCACCATCCATGCTGCTTCCAGGCACCATTGCGCATGGGTTTCTCCCCCCGTCCAGCGACATTGGCGACACATCAGGCACCTCGTACATGTCCTGGTCCTGGTCATCCAGCAGCCTATCGAGATCCTCGAACGGGTCGGCCTCGCCATCCATGTTGTGGAGAACGCCACCAGCCGCAGGACGCGGGGCGCAGGGGAGATCCCTCGAAGCAGCCGCTTGACCGACTTCCTGCAATGGCCTTACAGGGAGGTCATCAGGGCGAGCATCGCAGCACCTCTCAGCGCCGCCGCCTGCAACTCCATGTGCGAGGGCCTCGGCCACCCCATCATCGCGGGCCTCGCTCGGGCATGCGGGGAGGGCGATGGGGCGCGCACCGCAGCACCTCTCCAGGCCGTCTTCGGCAACTCCATGTGCGAGGGCATCGGCCACCCCACCGCGGTGGGCCTCGCTCGGGCTTGCAGGGAGGGCGCCGGGGCGAGCGACGCAGCACCTCACCAGGCCGTCAGGAGGAGGGTCTTGTGCGAGGGCATCGGCCACCCCACCGCTGTGGGCCTCGCTCGGACTTGCAGGGGGGGCGTCGGGGCGAGCGACACAGCACCTCACCAGGCCGCCAAGAGGAGGTTCGTGTGCGAGGGCATCGGCCACCCCACCGCTGTGGGCCTCGCTCGGTCTTACAGGGAGGGCGACGGGGCGAGCGTCGCAGCTCCTCACCTGGCCGCAAGGGGGGAGTGCATGTGCGAGGGCATCGGCCACCCCACCGCGGTGGGCCTCGCTCGGACTTACAGGGGGGGCGACGGGGCAAGCGTCGCAGCGCCTCACCAGGCCGCCTTCAGTTCCTTCGTGTGTGAGGGCATCGGCCACCCCACCGCGGTGGGCCTCGCAGGCAGCAGGCTGCTCGGTCAGGGTCGAGCTAGCCTCGGGCAGCGCCTCCACGCCTGGGTGGCGATCGAGGTCAGGGCGACCAGGCTCCGCGCGCTCACGCCCTTGTGCAGGGCCCACCTGGCCCAAACACGTGGCGGAGCCGTCCTGGTGCAGGGTGAGCTGCACAACCGTCTTCGTCACGTAGTCGTGCACGCCGAGGATGTGCTGGGCCCACCTGGCCGCAACATTCCACGCGCTCACTTCTGGCCCGTGTCGAGCTCGTCGCCGAGGAGGTCGCCACTCCAGCTGGCGGGTGCGCTGCTGCACAGGGCCTTCACGCCCCACGTAACATTGCTTGCGCGTGCCGACGATGTCGCGTCTGCCAGCCAGCTCCTCCTCCACGCCTCTGAGGACCAGGTCCCATGCCACCGCAAGCTGAGGAAGAGACTGCGCCCGATCGATAGAGAGATACACGTCCTCCCACCCATGCCAGGGATGCCTCGCGCACCCCGCGGGCAGCTCCCGAGGGAACGGGCGCGGCTCATCTAGCTCGCGCGCCATCGGCGCCTCGGTGCGCTTGGCCAGCGTGAGATGCACAGGCCTGCGTGGCCAAGTTATGTCGGTGACCGAAACGTCGACGGTGTACCTGGCCCCCTGGAGCATCGGGCGGTGGGCGAGGAAGTAGTCCAGGGTAGTAGCTGGCACGGCCTGCAGGCAGGTGGGCTCCCGCGGGACCACGCACATGGCATCGGCGAGGTGGAGCCAGTCATGCTCCAGCAACTCCTGCGGGGCCATGTTGAAGTCGCCGCCAACGATCCATGCCAGGCCTGGCCCTGTGACGACGCGCTTCACGTACTGCGCGACCTGCCAGGCGATGGCCAAGTTGCGAGGCGACCTGCCCTCTCCTGTGCGTAGATACAGCGCCGCGGCGACGAAGCCGCCAGGAAGTGCAGCATGCACGTGGGCTGCCACGGCCCTGCCAGGCACAATGGCCCCGTCATCCAGCAGCGGCGCCTTGGTGACGGCGATGTCCGTCTTGGCCAGGACAGCGACGCCGCCTTCCGTGCCGCCAGCCGCTGTGGCCAGCGCGGGGCACCACACTCCTTTCCAGCCCGAGTCCTGGGCGTCTCCCTGTACCTCAGGGAGCTTCTCGGCACCTGCATGGTGCTCCTGCGCCAAGACCACGTCGCTGCTGCATTCGGCGAGGTACTTGGACAGGGTGCCAAACGAGTTGGCGTTGACGGTGGGAATCTGTAACTTGCTGCGCGTCATGACTGGCAATGATGAGTACTCAGGCTGTGCGTGGCTTCTTGACCACCTTCCACTCGGGCTTGGCCAGGCGGATTCGCTTGACTGCAGCACGAAGTTCCTCCTCTGATGCATCTGCAGCGTTAGGAATGTCAGCACCAGACTCGCGCAAGAACTCGCGTAGCTCCTCGGCAGTAGCCTGGTTGACGGACTCCTCCTCCTGGGCATCGCCTTCGTCTGCCTCCATGGCGGCGTCGGCTCTGGCTGCTGCCTCATCGGCTTGCTCCTGCTGGGCCTGGGTGGCCTCGCGCTCGGCTTGAGCTTTGCGCTCCTGCTCCTGAGCCTGTCGATGCTGGCGCATCCTGTCCACCACCTTGGCCACGTCCTGTAGCAGATCAGGAGGAGCCTCAGCAGCAAGTAGGACTTGCTCCAACTTGGGCAGCGTCCAGCTGCTCTCGTCGTCGCCAGCGCCTGTGCCAGGAGCCGCTGCAGGAGGCTGCGGCAGCGCACCAACCAGTTGGGCCCGCTGGCCCTCGAGCTCCAGCAGCTGTTTGCGGGACTCGGCCAAAGCGGCCTCCTGCGTGGCGATCTCCGCCTGCAAGGCCGCCCACTGCGCTTGCTTGAGCGGGCCGTCTGCTGCTTGGTGATATGCTGCTCGACCTTGGTGATCTTGAAACCGAGAGACTTGAGCCGCTGCGAGGGCGGCTTCTCCTGGAACAGCTGCGCACGCAGCTTGACCTGCTCTGACTTGTACTGCTCCACCAGCTTCTCGACCTCTGGCGTGTGAATCCCAGCCAGCTGCTTAACGAAGCCGTCCAACTCGTCCAATCTTTTCTTGACTGCCGACTCAGCACCAGCATCGCCTTCACCTTGCTCTGCACCCGCCGTGGGCATCGCCGACTCGGGTGGTTTGGCTTTCGCCTGCTTGAGCTGCGACGTGAGCGATTGGACCTGCTTCTGCATCTCGAGCAGCTGGACCGAGAGCGACCCTGCTGCTTTGCCACCTGCGGCCCACGGCGCTGGCCGAGAGGGCACACTGGGCTTGACGGGGCCCCCGTACACGACGCTCTTGGCCAGGCAGCAACTGTTGCAGCACAGCTTATCAGCGAAGTTGACGTAGGGCTTGTGATCACGTCCGAGGCAAGACTTGC